TAGAAACTCCTGCAAGAGGAGAGGGATTTCTCAGCCAGTCAATAGGAGTGTCCACAGGGAAATCAGTAGACAGTTAGGTGAATGGTTAGCAGTTTTGAAAACCCCAGGGGATCAGTGATAGCAAGGCAGTGATACATGGTACTGTGGGGTGCTATAGTAGAGCTCTGCTTATGTTACTAGAAAGAGTGGTGAGGAGCAGTGGAGGAAGAAGACTCACCTGCACAAGCTGCACAAGAACTATGAACCACTGTGAAATGCCAGGTGCTTTCTACCCAGAATTGTCTATAAGCCATTAGAGCTAGAGGCATTCAAACAAAAAGTTAGCTCTTCATGACCTACCAAGTGACTGCAGGCATGGAACAACAGCTCCAGCAGCCAGTCCTCCTCCATTGGCTAATGCAGACATCATCTTGGCAGCCAGTGATCCAGCTGCAACTCCTGCGGTGGTAAATCCTGCTGCCCCCAGTGCAGTTGGGACTCCGACAAAAGCAATTCCTGCATTGCCAAGAGTGCTGCGGTATTAGTTACTAATAGACTAATAGGATCCTGCACTGCATCTCCAGAAGGACAGCCAGTGCCCTTAAGGCAGTGATTTTTTTTTTTTTTTTTCTTCTTTGTTTTTCAGCCTTTCTAGACTCCAGGCTTGCCTCAGAAAATATCATCTCTTCAGTTTCCCTTATTTTTGACTATGGAGAAATAAGAGAGCAATTCATCTAAGTCCACAACAAATCTAAATGATTTTTGATGCTATGGTTTCCTAGTTGAAATCTCTGGGTTTATCTTGTGAATCTTATATTAGCATTTGCACACCTAGCAGTGCTAATATTGAGTGGTATCTTTAAAAGGATCTAAAGGCACGTTAGAGGAGTGAATCACCCTGGTTGAGAATTACTACTTTAAGGAGAGAGAAAATATCTTCCCACCAAGACTGAGGTGTATGTTTTGCAGTTTAAAACATAGATCCAGCCTAGTTCATCCCAGTATGGGGTCTCTCAATCTGCACAGGAAATACCTGGGGCATGGGCTTGTACATTTTTCATTCAGGCTTTCTATGAGGGTCAGTTTTGGAGGGACAGGCTTCAGCCACCTTGCTGGGAGCCCTAAGAGATTCCTTTTGACCTGGAAAGGAATCAAAAAGCCAAAGGAGGCATTCTTGCTCCCCACATGTCAATCGGACATATGGGGAGTGTCCTCTGGACTGGGGAGGAGGCTTAGGCTTTGGAGGGGTACATGAGCTGAGTGCAGTCCATGCACTTCCTGATTAATTCCACTCTGCTGGGATTGGGTGTGCAAGGAGTGATCAAGGAGCTGGGTCCCTGTATTGTATGCAGAGGAGCCTTGCACAAGGGAAAAATCAAGGAGTGATCAAGGAGCTGGGATCCTGGTTTAGCCCTTTATGGCCGATCCAGAAAAGACTTGGGAAACTTCAGAACAAGAATCTTGTGTAACTTGGATGACTCTGTACGACTGGAGACCTAGTGAGATCTCTCAGAGGAGGAAGGCCAAGCAATTGGGAGGCTGGGGTTGTTGCTCAGATGGTTTAAGATAATTTAACGTTCTTTCCCAACTTTAACTCTGTCTAATAGACACTTAGGAACAAGGACATCTCAGAAGAGTCAACATCCATGCATCTTAATTAAGTGTCCAGTTTAATATCTATAGGAATGACCAGCACTCACATCCTGCCCCACGTGAAGGCCATAGCCCACTCCCTGAGGCAGTATAATGCTTATTCCATAATGCATGATGATGATTTAATTAACCATTCCATATCCTGAGCTAACATCTTACCTAATCCGACAGCTGCTCCAACAGCAGGGGCAACAAATCCTAGGAAAGGAGAGATTTATGAAAATGAGCCATGAAGGAAATGAGCACACCTTTCAGCAGAAAAGGCTAGATAGATAGGGTGAGGCATTTGTGGCACTGGCTAGCATTAACAGATTAGACTTTGGTCTGCAAATGGTGCATTGAAACAGCGAAAGCAAAATCAACAGGCTGTTTTCAAGCACTTTGAGGAGCCAGTGCAATTCAGTGTTAAGTTCAGCCAGCACGTGCCTTTTTTGGGAAGGCTGTCTTGTACTTGTCATACAAGAGGACTACAGACCACACCCCAGGTATGTGTGGGGCTAGCAAAGTTAGGAAACTGGTGAGATTCAGCACAGTGGAAAAGCAGTGGTGAAAAGGGAAATGTGGCTTCTAGTCCTCCAAAAGGGGCTTTTACAAGGGGCAGGGAGGGAGAGGAAACCTGGAGATCCTGAGAAGTTGAGGGAGCAGTGGAAGTACTACCGCTTCGCCTGGCTGTGCCTCACCAGACTCTGGTGCCAGCCCATCTTCCTGAGCTTAATGCTGGTCTCCTCAAAATCACTAGTAAATAGAGAGGAGCCTGAACCTGGATCTTTTCAACACACTTGCAGGGTTTATTGGGAGGGGTATCATCCTGGGCCTGCCTATATACACACACATAGGATATTGCATGTCCTCAGGCTCCATCACCTGGGCATCCAGGGTCTAGTGTCCATCAGTGATCTGCCCTGTCTATTGGGGGAAGACTTTGTGGGCTGGGCAGGGATCACTTGCTACCTCCCAAGGGAAGCCAGCTGGTTAGTTTGTGTCTGGGATGTGTACAGTTGCTGTTCAAAGGTCTCAGAGTAGAAGTCAAGTCTTACTTGCCATGTTGGAGACTGGCTTGTTTTTGGAGGGTTTAACTTCTGATCCAGTAGCCCTGAAAATAATGCAGAAAATGCAGTTAGACTAATTCAGTTCCCTCCTAACTCCAGCAACACCTGTGGCATCTTAAGGTAATTCCCCTCAATAAACCAGAGTTTCTGGTTGAGTCTGTGCTCCACAGTCATTTAAAACCAGGACATCCACACAGCTGTGGAACCTGGCCCATGGCCCACTTCTTGCCACCTACAACATGCAGCTCCTGCCCAGTGCATCATGAGAAATGCCACCACCAGGGTTCCAGGATATCGCCCCTCCCAATCCTCTCCCCAGCCAGGTCTAGTGCCTTCCAGTGAGACGGGGACCGGGGGAGACCTTTCAGCTCGCTCCCTGGGCATGCCTAGCTTTCCAGATCCCACAGAGGGAGGCAATGTTCATTGGGCCCCAGGACCTGAAGTCAGTGATGCTTAGCTGGTACCTCCCCCAGGGAAGACTAGCCCTGCAGTCCCAGGGGCTGCATCCTTTGGTGACTGGCAGGGCAATATTAACCCTTTAGTGGGCCCTAGACAAACCAACTTGTGGGCCCCTCCTTAATACTGTATATTTATATTCGTTTTTTTCATTTGATAATTATAATATGTAAAATAAGCACAACTGGGCCCCTTCTTCACTTAGGGCCCTATGCATGTGCCTGGTTTGTCTTTGCATTAATCTGGCCCTGATGATTGGCTAGCCCAGGAGAGGGGATCCCTGGGACGGACCCAGGAGAGAAACAAGGGCAGGGGTGGAACTGGCCGCTACCAGGTTATTGCTGCAGTATCAGCAGTTCCAGCAGGCACATCCAGGAGGTCTGGGGCCAAGCACAAACCCCTGCTAGCAGCAGCCTGCATCCCCTGCACCGCCCAGAGCCTCTTGGGCTTTTGTCACTTCTTTCCCAGCCCTGTTCTCTTTAAATGCCTCTGACTAGGGGTGGGGGGATGGAGCCCGAGAAAGCAGGAGGCGGCCAAGGTTTCAATGCACCTAGTAATAACCTACCAACCTGACCATTTCTGGGCTGGTTTGGAGTCCGGCCACGCTTTGCAGGCTGTGGTGGTGACCCACAATCTCCTGTCGCTGTGCTGGGAAATGGAAACAACGCACAAAACAAGGCTGCAGCTGGGCGAGTAGTCTCCACCTCTGCTTCTTTCCTATTGGACTCGCAAGCAGAGGCGAGGAGGGAGCAAGTCCGCCGGCTCCAGTAAGATCCGGCAGCACAAGGCATCATTCATATCCCTGGCAGGGTTTGCCTGCAGGAAGCAGCCTCAGCTCTGCCCAGGCTGCTACGCAGAGCCCATTAGCAGTGTTCATCCCTGTTGCAATGAAAGACTCTTGCAGGGCAGCAGTTGTCCTCCAGCTCTCCAGGCAAGAATCCCTGGCTGTCAGCTGCAGGAGTTAAGGTGGGATTGCAGGGTTTGGAGCCCACTGTCTGCTGGATGGACACACATATGGGAGCTAGTTATCTCCGGCCTATGGCAGGGGACTTATACCCCCTCCCCAGAACCAGAGTGGGATTTGTAGCCTTTTTTTTTTTAGTGCACAAGAATAAACAAAAGCCCTGAAATTGCTTTCCCCCAGGATCGAGGCCCTTGTGGCACAGTCCTGAATGGCATTCCTTTGGGATCCAGGCCACCTGCCTCCAAGCCTGAGGAACAGACATTAACCCTCCTCTTACTGGGCACTTTTTAAACACAAAGTGGCAGCCTGGAAAACTCCCAAGTTCAAAGGAAATTAGTTAAATGGTGACCTTACAGAAAACCAGAAGTCAGTCAAACCAAAGGCAAGGGATTTGAGGTCCTGCGGTCCTGACACTTGTCTCTGTACTTGTGTGTTCATATGCCTCATCAACCAGTGTCAGTATTGTGCATGAAAACCAGTCACCAGTGTGGTACTAGTGTGGTACAGTGCCTTTCACACTACTTGGGAAGGCCAGGACCCGTTCAGCTCCTACCACCAAGGTCTCTAGTAGCAGATGCTGCTCTCATTAGCCACAGCTTTGCATCCCAGCGCATTGGGTACAAGAAACAAAGCACAGTAAGGAACGAGGCGCTACAGGTAGCTGCACTGTGATACAGCCGACCACTGATGGAGAGTGGTTGTCCATAATGAGTGGACACAGAATTGGGCCATCTACATGCTGTAGCACCCTCAGAGGAAGAAGCTGTGTGTATCCACCTCTGAAAGCTTCCTAGGGTTTGTTTGGGATTTTTTGACAACCCCTATGCAGGGGAGGATGGGGGGGGGTGGTAATCTAGCAAGTTCTACATTTATGAAAAAATAATTGTACTCCCAGCATACATGTTTGTAAAGGCTTTTTCTTCCACAGCAGTGCTAAGCAAGGCACAACATGTTAGCTTGTACTGGGCAGATACAAGAAGCAAGAGGTCTTCAGGGGCTGGTTTGACATGCAGTTTCTTCTTGAGCGTGCTGAAAGCAGTTCCTGTAACTTGCTCTGTATTGTATTTAGCCTGGTGGGTGATTCGGGCATGCCAGATGATTGTGCTTTGGTCACCCAGTCACCAGAGAACCAGCTCTGGCTTTCAGATAAGGGCAAAAAGTGCTGCACCAGCAGCCGCCATCCCAGTCTTTGCTGCTGCAGAGAGTCCTGCAGCACCTGAGAAAACAGAGGGTGGGGAGTCGGTATGGCTACACCTCCCAGTGCACTGGAGCTCCTGCAGTTACTTGTCCCCTCCCCGGGTCAGTGCTGAAAGAAGACTGTCACGATGGAAACAGCTCTGCGTGTTTTCAGCACATGGAAGGGGCTGGGGATCTGACCACCCAAATGTGACCCAAGCTTTGCCAGGAGCCCCTGGGCTAGTACTCTATTGGCAGGAGAGTCCATCCAGGCAGGTGAGCAGGAGACTCGCTTCAACAGGCTCCCCTGATACCCATGGAAGCATCACTGGGGATGTCATGAAGAACAGAGTTAGGTGAATGCTGAGCATGTAAAATTCGGAAAGGCTGCAACTAGGTAATGAGCTGTGGTACTGAGGGCATGGCCAGGGGTGCCAGGAGGCTGAAGCAATGTCCCATATCGCCCATCTAAGTTTAGGTAAGAGAGTTGAGGACCCCCACAAAATGCCAGGTGCTCTCTATGCAGAATCGTCCATAAGCACAAGAGCATCAGAGACGGGCACTTTGAGTGAAAGGTTAGTTCCCTAGGACCTACCGACGGACTGCAGCACTGCCACGGTGCCTCCAGCAGCCACTCCTCCTCCGTTGGCTATGGCCGCTGCTGACATTATCTTGGCCGCTACTGACCCTACAGCAATTCCTGCAGCAGTAAATCCTGCAGCCCCCAGGACTACAGGGACTCCGACAGCTGCGACTCCTGTATCGCAAAGAGCATTAGTTTATAAAATGGGATCCTGGTGCACGGTATATCCAGCTTTCTGCTGCAGAACCACCTTTACATCCATTCACTTAGTGCTTTAGTGTCTTGTGGTTTGTACCACCACAGTGACAGGTTGGGGGGATGTCTTTCCTCAATGAAGCACTTCCCCAATACTTAAAATAGGGATCCTAATATTCACGTGAGTTCAGAAATTGCAGCATTCCTTGGTGCGTTGATGTCAAAGAGAGGGTCATGCAGGACACAGAGTAGGATGTTGCCTGGGAAGACAGGCCCAAGACATAGTAAAGTGCTGTTTGGGGGAGAACTCTTGCTAAGAGGCAGGTGTACAGTTTGCAGTTAAGGCATAGATCCAACCTAGTCTCCCTATCTGCAGGCACGATATCTGGGGCAAGGGCTTGTACATTCCCATGAGGGTCAGTCTGGCAGGATGGCCTCCAACCACCTTTTTCTCACTTCCCTTTAGACCCCTGTCAGCATCCCTTGAGCTGGGAAAGGAATCAAAGCTCAAGGGAAGGAATTCTTACTCCGCACAGGTCAGTTGGGGCAGGGGAGGCTCTGGGGAGGGTCTCCCCTGTTAAGGGAGAGGCCTGGGCTTTAGAAGGGCAGACGAGCTGAGTGGCTGAATAATGCTTAGATAAATCCTTGTTCTTTTTTTTTTAAATAAGCAGCCTGTCTCCTGAGCTAGTGACTTACCGAATCCAATGCCTGCGCCCAGCGTAGTTGCCAAAATTCCTGAAAGAGGAAAGGTTTGTGTTAATGAGCCATCAGAGAAGATAGCTGGTTTTCAGCAGACGGTTTTCCTTTGAATGCTGCTGGTCAGTATTGACAGTCTGGCATTCAGGTTGGATATCCCTGGCACCTAAACCTATCGGCTTTGTGCTGCTCTTCTCAAATGTCTTTTGGAGAAGATGCCGCTCAGCAGTGACTTTACCCAGAACATGCCTCTTTCATAGAATCATAAATAAAAAAATAAAAAATGAGGGTTGAAGGGACCTCAGGAGGTCATCTACTCCAACCCCCTGTTCAAAGCAGGACCATCCCCATCTATATCATCCCAGCCAAGGCTTTGTTGTGCCAGGCCTTAAAGTCAAAAGATGGAGATGCCACCACCTCTCTAGGTAACCTGTTCCAGTGCTTTATCACCAAAAGTGTTTCCTAAAATCAAATCTAAACCTCACTTGCTGCAACTTGCTGCTTCTTGTTCTGTCATCACTGAGAACAGTCCAGCTCCATCCTCTTTGGACCCCACCTTTAGGTCACTGAAGGCTGCTGTTAAATCCCCTCTCTTCTGCAGACTTCTTTTGTGAAGACTAAATAAACCCAGTTTCCTCAGCCTCTCCTCAGCAGTCATGTGCCTCAGCCCCCAAACCATTTTCATTGCCCTCCACTGGACTGTCTCCAATTTGGCTACATCCTTTCTGCAGGGTGGGGGCAGGAAAAACTGGGCACAGTACTCCAGATGTGGCCTCCCCATTGCAGAATAGAGGGGAATACTTACTTCCCTCGTTCTGCTGGCAGTGCTCCTACTAATGCAGCCCACGATGCTGTTAGCCTTCTTGACAGCAAGGGCACACTGTTGACTCATGTCCATCTTATTGTCCACTGTAAACCCCAGGTCCTCTTCTGCAGAGTTGCTGCCCACACAGTCAGTGCCTAGGCTGTAGCAGTTCTTGGGCTTCTTCTGTCCTAAGTGCTGGACTTTGCACTTGTCCTTGTTGAACCTCATGAGATTTCTTTTGGACCGGTCCTCCAATTTTTTGAGGCCGCTCCGAATCCTAGCCCTGCCCTCCAGCACATCCAGCGAAACCCCCCAGTTTGATGTTATCCACAAACTTCCTGAGGGTGCCCTCTATGCCATCTTCCAGATCATTAATGAATATGTTGAACAAAACTGGTCCCAGGACCAACCCCTGGGGCACTCCACTTCATACTGGCTGCCACCTAGACATTGAAGCATTGATTACTACCCATTGAGCCCCACAATCCAGCCAGCTTTCTATTCACCTTATTGTCCATTTATCCAACCTACACTTTCTCTGCTTGCTTGTGAAAATGCTGTGGGAGACCGCATCAAAATACCCTGACTTTAGCAAGGCTATTGCATGCACTGCTTTCCCTGCATCCAAAAAGCCAGTCATCTCATCATAGAAGGCAGTCAGGTTGGTCAAGCATGAGTTGTCCTTGGTGAATCCATGCTGACTGTTCCTGATCACCTTCTTCTCCTCCAAGTGCTTAGAAATGGATTCCTTGAGGACCTGCTCCATGATTTTTCCAGGGACTGAGGTGAGGCTGACTGGTCTGTGGTTCCCTGGATCCTCCTCCTTCCCTTTCTGAAAGATGGGCACTACAGTTGCCCTCTTCCAGTCATTGGGGCCTCCCCCAATTGCCACAAATTTTCAGAGATAATGGCCAGCAGCTCTGCAATCACATCAGCCAACTCCCTTAGCACCCTTGGATGCACTGCATCTGGCCCCATGGAATTGTACATGTCCAGCTTTTCTAAGTAGTCCCTAACCTCTTCTTTCACCACTGTTGGCTGCTCACCCCCTCCCCAAACTGTGCTGCCAGGTGCAGTAGTCTGGGAGCTGACCTTGTCAATGCCTTGAAGGCATTGAGCACTTCAGTCTTTTCACATTGTCTATTACTAGGTTGCCTCCCCCATTCAGTAAGGGACCCACACGTTCCCCGAACTTCCTCTTGTTGCTGATATACTTGTAGAAACCCTCGTTACCCTTCACATCCCCTGCTAGCTGCAACTCCACTTGTGCTTTGGCCTTCCTGACTTCATCCCTGCATGTCTGAACAATGCTCTCATATTCCTCCCAAGTTTTTTCTCCAAGCTTCCACTTCTTGTAAGCTTCCTGTTTGTGTTTAAGCTCACTAAAGAGTTCTCTGCTAAGCCAAGCTGGTCGCTTGCCACATTTGCTATTCTTCCTGCACATTTGGGATGCTTTGTTCCTATGCCCTCAGTAAGTTGTTTTTAAATACAACTAGCTCTCCTGGACTCTCTTCCCCCTCAGACTGGCCTCCCAGGGGATCCTGCTCATCAGCTCTCTGAGGAAGTCAAAGTTTGCTTTTCTGAGCTCCAGGGTCCATACTCTGCTGCTCTTCTTCCTTCTTTTTTTTCAGGATCCTGAACTCAGTCATCTCATGGTCGATATTGCCCTAGTTGCCATCCACTTCTACATCCCCCCAACCAATTCTTTCCTGTTTGAACAGCAGGACAGGAAGAGAACGGCCCCTAGCTGCTGTCTCAAACACCAGGAAGTTATTTCTAATGCTTGCCAAAAACGTCCTAGATTGCCTGTGCACAGCTGTATTGCCTTCCCAGCAAATATCAGGGTGGTTGAAGTCCCCCATGAGAACCAGGGCCTGTGATCAGGAAATTTCTGCTAGTTGTCTGAAGAAAGCCTAATCCTCCTGGTCGGGTGGTCTATAGCAGATGCACACCACATCATCACTCTTGTTGCTCTCTCCCCTCTAACTTTAACTCAGACTTCAAGTTTCATGCTGGAGTTTCATGCCTGTCTCCAGTTTCATGCTGGAGCTCTGAACAATCGTACAGCTCTTTACATAGAGCACAACTCTTCTCCCCTGTCTGGTCCTTCCCAAACTGTTTGTACCCATCCACAACAGCGCTCCAGTCACCCGAGCTCCCACCAAGTCTCTGCTGTTCTAGTCACATCATAGTTCCCTGACTGTGCAATTCTTCCTGCTTGCTTCCCGGCTCCATGCATTTGTGTACAGGCTCCTGAGGTCACTAGCTGATTGCCCTGCTTTCTCAGGAAGAATGAGCCCTCTTCTGTTGCCCCTTCCTGCTTCTGCTTCCTCCAGGCCCCCTACTTCCCCACTTACCACAGGGCTTTTTTCTCCATCCCCCTGCAGTAAGTGGGGGACCTGAAGGAAGATCCTCCTGTCCTTGTATGAGAAGACTACTTTCCACACCTGGGGTCCATGTATACCAGGTAGCTCCACACAGGATTGAAGCTAGGCTCCTTTGCCATCTAGGATCTTTTGTCTGTCAGTGTCCCAGACTGTTTGGGAGCCTTCAATGTGATGCTGCAGCTAGTAGAGCGAGCAAAACGCTGGCTTGCATCCATAGATGCTTCTCAAGCAAATCCCAGGATGTCATTCTCCCGTTGCACTTGGCCTTGGTGAGGCCGCAGCTGGAGTACTGCATCCAGTTTTGGGCTCTGCAATTCAAAAAGTTCGAGCACCCAAGGTCTGGAATAGACTGCTGCCAGAGGTGGTTCAGGCACCTACTTAGAACACCTTGAAGAGAAATTTGGATGTTTATCTTGCTGGGATCCCATGACTCCAGCTGACTTCCTGCCCCTGGGGCAGGGGGCTGGACTCGATGAACTTCTGAAGTCCCTTCCAGCCCTAATGTCTAGGAAATCTAGGAAATCGAATTCAACGCTTCAGAGCAAGATGGAAGGATTTGGAGTTGTGCAGAGGCTCACTGGCTGCCTGTATGGTTTGCCAGGTTGTTAATGGTGCCAGGGACATGTGCAATTCCTGTTCAGGGGTCTGTCAGTGAAAAGAAAGTGGAACCTTACCAACCATCTTGTAGAGGGGAGAGGCTTTTTGTGGTCCTGGATCTGGGGATGACTGAGGACAACACAAGAAATGCAGTTAGAGCAGTCCAAATCCCTCAAAACATGGTCCGTTGGGGGCAAGGAGGGAGGCACAGCCGTAGGGCTGGGGCTGCGGCATCATAGGGCAGGTCCATCTAGCAAGCCATCTTTTCTTGTAGGTACGTATCCCACTTCTACTAAAACTAGGGCCTCAGCGCAGCTGAGAATAGCTGACCTGCAACCCACCTCTTCTCCCATGTCATTCACTGGGTGGGGCCTTCTGGGAACTGCCACCATCACGGTTCTAGGGTAATGCACATTCAAGCCTTTCTTCCTGTGAGGATTAGCACTGCCTCTGTCGTGGGGCTGGTGGGGGGAGTGCTTTCAGATCAGCTCTGAGCACGCTCAGGTTTGCACATCCCATAGAGGTAGGGGAAGGCTCACTGGTAGAGTGGCCACCTTTTCAAAATGGAAAGGCAAGACGTGTCCCCCTCCCCTGCCCTCCCTCCGCAGCACAGCTGGAGTAGAGCCAAGCAGAGGGGGGCAGGGCAGATGCAGGATATCTGCTGTGGGCTCAAGTCTCCCTGCCCTGCTGCCCTGCCCCTGGGAGCCCTGCATCTGCTGCACTGCCGTGGTGAGGCACCTCCTGCCTGCATAGCAGCAGCAAAGGGAAAAACTTTGTGCTGCCACCGCTACCACTGCCAGGTCAGAAGGGGACACCGTGCCACGGTGGTGCGGCCAGCATGGGGCTCCGGGTGGTGGCAGCAGCATCACTCAACCTCTCAGCCTTCCTGCACCAGGTCCTGCCCATTGCAGGGTGGTGGCCGCAGGGCAAGGACAGCAGGGTGGGGAGCTCAGAGTCCACAGTGGGCAGTCCACTCTGTGTACAAACCAGGGGGCGCATGTGCCCTCCCATGCCCCCTCCCTGGGAGCACGTACAGCAGCAGGGAGTTTGTCCCCTTGCCACCCGCCAAATGAGCCGCCCGTGGCTCCATCCCACTCCCTAGCTGTGCTCCGTGGCCATGCATTCCCACCCCAGTCCTGGGCCCTGTGCACTACCCTGGCTGGGCAGCACCTCCAGCCCCACTTCCCCCCTCACTGGTGGCCTCAGTCTGTTCCCCTTGCCCACCCTATGACCTCTCCCCCCCACCCCACACTTATCTGCAGTGACATTTTCTCCACCGCGGCCTGGCTGTATTCCCGGCGGCATGCATGCATCTACGCACACGTACACCTGGCGCCCCCAGCATCCTGCTCCCCCCAGCCCCAGGCAGCCCCTTGCAGACTGAAACTCTGCCAGCCTGCAAGGGGAAACCTGCTGTTTCCTGCATTTTTCCACAACAAAAGGAAAACCTGGATCCCTGCACAATACTGGGAGTCCAGGACAAATGCTGTCCAAGAGTCATTCAGCCCAGGACTGGGAGTTGGTGTTCACATTTCAGGACTGTCCTTCCCAGTTAGGGCTGAGTAGTCAACCTTCTCACTAGGCACAAGGATTGTAAAAGTTAGTAGTATTTAGCTGGGGGCAATGCAGACAAGAATCATGCTAGAGACCCCAGGACCTCCATCCCTTAGTGATTACTTCCCCAGACTCAGGAAAGAAACTACAGCATAAGTGCAATGGACCGGTATCAGTTAATTGCTACAACACTATCAGCCTGAGTAGGCGCATTTAGGATGAACCCAAATGCTCACTAGATGCACACAGGAAGCATTTGCAATGCACCACAGCAAATCCCAAGTGTCTCTAAAGGGTTTTGAGCTGCCCTTTCCCACTCCCTTTTTCCTTAGAGGTGCCCCTAAGCTTGGCTGGGGAGGTGAAAGCAGCACTGCAAACTGCTTTTACATCTTTCTGCCCTGAAGAGGAATTCAGCTGCCTCCAAAAGCAGAATTAGCCCAAGATTCAAATGCAGGAAGGAAGATATCTATCTACCTTGTTCAGCAGACAGGCGAGTTCTCCAGCTGTCTCAGCATTGATTCCTCCTCCTCTTTTATATGTCAAATGATGAAGCTGGGAGGGAACCAATGGAGCTTGCCTGTTAGGTTTTAGTTTCCTAGCTTTAGGTTTCAGTTTCCTAGCTAAGTGAAACTTAAGATAAGAGCCAGAATAATAAGCAAGGGTTGTGTTGAGCTGGACCCACCCATGATAGACCCAAGGTTGTGATTCAAAATACCATTGGCAATATGAGGGGGAAAAAAAAGTCTGTGCGCTGCAGTAAAGGTTTGATTTAATAGCACCAAGTACTTGTTGGTTGTCCTTTTGCTCTTTGAAATGGCACCTGCTGAGAATGGGCTCCCTAGGGTAACCACCTTTTGCGAACTAGAAGGTGGGACACGTGCCCGCCGTCCCCACCTGCAGCACAGCTGGAGCTGGAGCCCATGGGGGGCAGGGACAAACACGGGATGTGTGCTGCGGGCTCAAGGCTCCCCACCCTGCCATCTTGCTCCTGGGAGCCTGGTGCCAGCTGCACCACCATGGCAAGGTGCCCCATGCCCATCTGGCAGCAGCAAGGGCCACAACTCTACACCACTGCCACCATGGCAAGGGTTGTTTTTTTGGTTTGTTGGAGCCAAATCCTGCCCGCGGGAGGGGATGAGCTGCCAACTGGTCCCTGAGCTGCAGAGGGCCCTGGTCCTTCCCTCCGCAGCGGCAACACTTCCTGGGGCCACCTGGGCGGGCTGCTAGTGGCCCAGGTGTTACCCCAGCATGGAGGCAGTACCCAGCTTGATCCAACTATTCCCCAAGCCTGCTCAGGGAGCAGCGCCCAGCAGGTTTCCAGGGGGCTCAGGGAACAATTGGATCAGGCATCTGAGGTGGAGCAGCACCCGGCCCAACAGCACCCCACCGAGGCAGCCCCAGGGTGTGCCACTGCCATGCGGTGAAGGACCCCCTGCCCCATCTCAGCGGCCGCTTGGCCCTCTGTTGGGGAAAACTTGTCCCCAGGTTCGTTAGGCGGAGGCTCAGACGAACAACAACATAAGTTTAAAGACTTGATTTATTCAAGAATGCATTCTGAACAGACAACTGCCCCGAGAGGTAACTGTCTGTTGTTCTACTTCGTGCGCAGCTTGATTATATAGCAAGTATGATATAGGAAGTATGCATCATATGCATAGTAACAGATACATCAATCTATTTAACAGCCACACACTTTCTGTACTAGTATCCTGTTTTTACTAAACTAGAATTGTTCCAGTTTCTGCCTAGCATAGCAGTTTGGCGTCATGCCCTTTGACTTCCTCACAGCTTAAGCTGTGTACGTGACCTGCTCGCTTACACAAAAGGGCGATTGACTCCGTTCTGTTCCCCTTCACCTCCAGCAGTTCATCCCCCCCAGCTGCGGGAGAGGCGGGCAGGCTCCGTTAAATTAACAAAAAAGAAAAGGTTCAGGCACCTCATTGCTTCTGCCTTCAGCAGGCACCTGCAGCGGGCAGGACACCTGGGGCCACCTGGGAACGGCCTGGCTTGCCCCTGGGACAGAGCAGGAAGGTGGCAGCTGCGTTTTCTGGCTGTCGGAGCAGGCAGTGGGGATGGTGCATGGGGCAATGAAAGACTCTTGCAGGGCAGCAGTTGCCCTCCAACTCTCGAGGCAAACATCTCTGGCTATTAGGTGCAGGGGCTAAGGCAGGCTTGCACAGTTTGCAGTCTGCTCTCCACTGGATGGGCACATAGATGGAAGCCACTTATCTTGGACCTGTGGCAGGGGGTTTCCACCCCTGCAGCCAGAGGCCCTGCCTGTTTTTTGATTTTTAGTGCACATGAATAAGCAAAAGCCCTGAAATTGCTTTCCCTTGGGATCCAGGCCCTCATAGCACAGTCCACCTGCTTCCAAACCTGAGGAATAATTAACCCTCCTCCTACTGGGCACATTTTTTTAACACAGAGTGGCTGCCTGGAAAACTCCAAGTTCAAAGAGAATTAGTTAAATGGTGACCTTACAGAAAACCTGAAGTCAGGTCAAACCAAAGGGAAGGGATTTGGGGTCCCGTGGTCCCAACAGGGCCAGTCCAAGGGTAATTGGTGCCCATGGCGAACTGTACCTCGGCGCCCAAAAGGTAGGAGTTGCGATTCTAGTGATCTTGCCTACTGTCACAACCCAAAGTTGTAGATTGTTGATTGTGTGTGCTTCGGCACCGCTAAATTATGTTCCCGCCGAATTGCAGCTCTTTTGCACGACGGAGTGTTCTGTTGTTGTGGAGAACCCGCGTGCAGGAGAGTGTTTCCCGCCATTCTGTAGCCTTCTTTGCATTGTGCATGACTCTTGCATTTA